TGTGACTGCCTTCTTCACTTAGCAAAATGTTTTCAAGGTTCATTTATATTGTAGCATATGTCAGTTCTTCATTCCTTTCATAGTCAAAGAATATTCCATAGTATAAATATGCCACATTTTGTTTATCTGTTCATCTGTTGGTGATAGACATCTGAGTTGTTTCCAGTGTTTTGGTTATTATGAATAATGCTACTATAAATATTAACGTACAAATTTTTGTAAGAATTGTACACTTTACTGTACAGAAATTATACCTGAATTTTAAGAATAAATATATATATGAAAAATCACATTGTTACTTAAAGCATGATTTCTGAGTGTTTCAGTGGATGGCAGAACAAAAGCATTCAATAATGGTAGACAAGCAGATTATAATAAAGACGTTTTTTCAGAGGAGAAAAAAGTTGCATGTTGATACAAAGAACCAAACTGAAATGTCATACTCATATCCTGATGAAGCAGAGGTTTCCTCTGAATGAGAAAGCCTTCTGAAAGGAGAATTTAAGTCATTGCCTCACACACAAACTACGATATAACTCTTTACGGCTTCAGTGACCATACCACAGAAATATTTATTATCATCCTGACTTTTCTATGTCCCATTAGCAACAAAATCAACACTGAAGTATGATCTAATTCTTTTGAGGGATAAAGAAAACAGTTTAGTCTATTTACCAAAGGCAAAAAATAGTTTTAAAAGAATGTCTGTGTAGCATTGAGTACAACATTTACATAGAGATATGATGCCTTGAAGCTGTCACACTAGGAAAAAAATGATTTTCCTTACAAATTAAAGAACATATTTTTCCTAAAATGGTTATAAATTATTTTTCAGGTTGTGATATGAACAAGGGTTTTATTTTTTTTTAAATAGTTAAGTGGATCCATCGTGGCTTCCTGTTAGAAAAAGTTGCAAAGAGAATACTAGAAATTACTGTGTTACTACTCTCTTTTGGGGACTCCACTATATATTTTACATACATATGTTTCCTAATTAAATCCACAGAACAGCCTTATAAGGTAGGTCCTAAGTTTGTCCCCATTTTACAGATAAGAAAACTAGGTTTAACTAGCTAAACTATGTACAGAAGAGAGGAACAGGCCTGGACCCAACCCAAGATTTCATTCATATGGAACATATACCTACAATTCATGCATATCCCTTACATATCCCTTTCCAGTCACCACCACTGTTCCTTAAAGTGCATCTGCACTGTTGTTGCCACTTTCTCACTTCGGAGTCTTTCTGAACACCATGTGCTTCCATGCAAAACATTTCACCACGATTGCTCCAGGACTACTAATGACTCTTTATCAGTCAAATTCTAAGGATACTTTTCACTCTTTATCTAACTTTTGTGGCCTGAATCTTCTTTTGAAACACTCTCCTCCCTTGGGTAACTGACCATTCCCTCTCATTATTCTTAAATGACTGTTCTTCTCTACCTACATTTATGTCCACTAAACCTAGGGTTTTCTCCTTGATTCTTTGTCCTGGATTTCTTTTTAACTCCATAATTTATATTTGACTATTTTCTAGTAAAAATTTTTATTTTTCTATCTGGAGAAACATCATTTTCATACTTCCCTTTAGTAATTTATTTATGGTTTCCTTTAGTCCTTTAGACATATTTAAAATAGCTAATTTGATTAAAGTCTTTGCCTAGTAAGTCTAATATTTTGGTTTCCTCAGGAATGGTTTCTTCCTCCCTCCCTCTTTTCCTTCCTTGAGTTTCACGATGTTGCTCACACTGGTCTTGAACTCCTGACCTCAAGCAATCCTCCCACATCAGCCTCCCAAATTACTGGAATTACTGGAATGAGCCACCATGTCTGGCCTCCTCAGGGATATTTTCTATTGACTGCTTTTTTCCCCCTGTATATAAGCCATACTTTCTTGTTTATCTATAAGTCTCCTACTTTTTGGTTGAAAACGGGACATTTTATATAATATAATGTGGCTACTCTAAAAATCAATTAGATTTCTCCTCTTTCCCAGAGTTTACTGTTGCTGCTGTTTGTTGTTGTTACTATTGTTTATTTAGTTCCAAACTAATTCTGTAAAGTCTGTATTCTTTGTCACATATGGTCACTAAATTTTCTTCTTAGCTTAATGGTTAGCTACTGACTAGACAGAGATTTCCTTAAATGCGTGAACTAAAAAATCTCTTGGTCTTTGCTGGAGCTCTGTGTGTTGTGATTCTCAGCTAGGCAGTTTACAACACCACCTTAGGTTTTATTTCCTGCTTGTGCAGAGGCCCAAAGTTAGCCAGAGGTGAGCTTAGGACCTCCTCAGGTCTTTCCTGAGCATGCACACAGCTCTAACCACATGCACAGTCTTATGCCCTTGGCCTTCTGGAGTCCCAGAAACATGTCAGATCTTTTCAAAGCCCCCCATGGACATCTCATTCCTTAGTTTTCCTTTTAAGTTTTTTGTTTATTTTGGTGTGTGTGTGTGTGTGTGTGTGTACGCGTGCACACACAAAACTGGCACGTCAAGTAGCTATTCTGTTAAACAGTTGTGGCTGATTATTTTTGACAAATGCCTCTAGGGAAAATACACTGCACTGGATGAATTTTCAGTCAGGTTAAAAAAAGACAAACCTTTCAAGCGAGGTTTACCAGGATACTGCCAGACAGGCCAAATGATGGTGATTCTCTGAGGATGGGGCTTGGAAAGAGCTCCAACTCTGTTTTGATTCTTTCAGTCCCGGCAAGGTTGCTAATTTTCACCATGATTGCAAGCTGTTGGTTTGCAAAGCTACTATGGAGCTGGGGAGAGGGGCCGGTACTAAGCCATGTGAAAATGCCACAAAGCTTGTTGTTCTTATGGAGATTCTGCTCTCTGTTGTTTTAAACAAACACCGCCCCCATTGTTAGATCTTTGGAAAATTTTCAAAGTTATAAAAAAAAAGTTGATCTTAATTTTTGCCAGTGTTCTTGGCACTTTAATGAAGAAGGAGATTTGGGGATGTGATTTTGCCACTTCCCACGGCATTGCTCTCATTCATCTCATTTTTAGATTTATTTAAAAGATAGTAGATTACTTAAAGCAGAAATAATAATAATAGTACATTGTGGGTTTATAATATGTTTAGAAGTAAAAATATGGCAACAATAACACAAAGGCTAGGAGAGGTAAATAAAAATATGCTGTTGTCACAGTCTTACATTATATGTAACCTATTTGACTGTGATAAGATGCAAGCTCTAAATCCTAGAGCAACCAATAAAAATGTTGAAAAGAAAAAAAATAAAATGCTAAAAAAACTGATTAATTTTAAAAATTCATTAAAAAGAGAAGAAAAGACAAGACAAAAAGAAAACGAACAGCAAGGTGGCATATCATATTGCAACTATCTGTGTGTTATGTATGCATGTAAATCTGTCTGCCTATCTCTCTCTTTCTTTGTCTCTCTCTCCACCTTATTTGTTTTGTTTTGTTTTTTTAGAGACAGAGTCTTACTCTGTTGCCCAAGCTGGTGTGCAGTGACACAACCATGGCTCACTTGCAGCCTCAACCTCCTGGGCTCAAGCAATCCTTCCTCCTCAGCCTCCCTCTACATCTATTTTCTCTACTAGATTATGAGCTTACCAAAATATGAATGACAAACAGAAATTAACCAAGGTTAATTGCTATAATGATTATACTGTTAGTTTTAACTTTTCTACTTTGTAATTTATAAGAATTTATAAAATTTTACTAAATTAATTAACTAATATAATAAGACAATATGGAAAAAAACACAAAAGCTACCTATCTTCACAAAAATAAAACACAGAATTTTAGTACCGAGTGTTATTTTAGAAACTCCATCGTACAAGTCTGCATTTTACAATTAAGAAACTAAGACTTAAAGCTATTAATGAACTGATAAAAAGTCACGGGCAACTCCCGCAGGTCCCCTCCTACTGTAGAGTTTTTCTATCCTCTTAATAAATCCTGCTTTCTCACGTTAAAAAAAAAAAAAAAGTCACATGACCAGTCAACATCAGAGCCACAGTAAAATTCTTATTTCATAACTTCTTGTCCAGTAGTTTCAAGAGAAAATAATTTCCATGCAACACCAACCATGTTTACAACTACATATAAATAATGTTTCAATTGATTTTTTTTTTTTTGAGTTGGCGTCTCACTCTGTCGCCCAGACTGGAGTGCAGTGGCCGCTCCCGGCCACCGCAGCCTTGGCCTGCTGGGCTCTGGCGATCCTTCCGCCTCAGCCTTCCAAGTAGCCGGAATTACAGGCATGCGCCATCACGCCCAGCTGATTTTTTGATTTATTGTAGAGATGAGGTATCGCTGCCCAGGTGGGTCTCGAACCCGCGGGCTCAGGCAATTCACTCACCTCAGCCTCCCAAAGGCGCGGGATTACAGGCTGAGCCACCGAGCCCAGCCAAGTGATTTTTATCTAGCAGGTCTAACAAGATCTCTATTTGAAAGCATCCTGTTAGTTAAGTTACATACCTATTTGAAAATAATCAAACTTTAAAAATATACATTCTTAGGCTAAACAAATTGGCCCATGCCTGTCATCCCAGCACTTTGAGAGGCCAAGGCGGAAGAACTGTTTGAGCCCAGGAGTTCAAGTCCCACCTAGGCAACATAGTGAGACCTCGTCTCTTAAAAAAAAAAAAAAAAAAAAAAATTTAACCAGGCATGGTAGTACACACCTGTAGACCCAGCTTCTTAGGAGGCTGAGGAACAAGGGTCATCTGAGCCCAGGAGGTCAAGGCTGTGGTGAGTTGTGATGATGTCATTGCACTCCATTCTCGGCAACAAAGTGAGACCCCCAACACACAAAAGAACAATTTTAATTTAAAAATGCATATATTATTGAATTTAGAGTTCTGATTAATTCAAATTCTCAATTAATCAAGACTAGTTAAGTGTACTGTACTTATAGAAAAAAATTCCACCTAAATAATCATCTAAACATCAGCTACCAAGTTCAGCTATTCAAATCAATGACTAAGTCATTCACATTTAGGACAAAATGATTTTAAAACGTAGGAAATCTGTATGTATTACCTGTAGCTCCCAATGGGTGTCCCTTTGAAATCAATCCACCACTAGGATTTATGACCCACTTTCCTCCATAAGTATTATCTCCTCTGTCAACCAGTGTTCCACCTTGTCCTATTGAAGGAAAAATAATATTCACACATGTTAAAAAAATTAGAATAGTATGCTTTTATAAAATGTCTCTATAGCCAATAATTTATCAGAGCAAACATTTCTTTTTTTAAAATTTTTAATTTTAAAGATGTGAGGTACAATTCAGGATTAAGTATACAAATGTTCATTATGCAGGTGTCCTTGTTGATGAGGTGTGTCCCCACCCCCCGGGAAGTTTTGCAAACATTTCTTAACAGTGCAAACTAACAAAAATTTGATATAAACGCTTCTAAAAGTTAAGTAATAAATACTTATATTTTCAGAACATTTCCTGCATGAAACAAAGTTCCTATTAGTTCCTTAGAGTTTTATGGCTTCCAAAATTGCTCCAAATATAATAGAGATTCAGAGAGCCAGAAGGAAAGAACTGAAATGACTATAATATTGTAACTAAAATAATTACACCAGCTTTAAAAATTCATAATTTTGTCAAAATGTATTCATTTCTCTCCACTTTCAACTGTGCTGCTATATGCTATATGAATAGTTTTAATTAACATGGAAAAACAGGGAGAAAAAGCACTTTTATTAAATGAAGAAAAATAGCTGAAAATACTGTTGCACCACAAAAGTAAGTTTTTAAAAATTACATATTTGGCAGCTTTAATGTTCCTGTCAATTTCCTGGTCATTCTTCCAGGTGATTAAGAAATAAATAAGCCGGACTCGGTGGCTCAGCCTGAAATCCCGCGCCTTTGGGAGGCTAAGGTGAGTGGATTGCCTGAGCCCGCGAGTTCGAGACCCACCTGGGCAGCGAGACCTCATCTCTACAATAAATGAAAAAAATCAGCCGGGCATTGTAGTGCATGCCTGTAATTCTGGCTACTTGGAAGGCTGAGGCAGAAGGATCGCCGGAGCCCAGCAGGTTGAGGCTGCGGGAGCGGCCACTGCACTCCAGTCTGGGGGACAGAGTGAGACTCCAACTCAAAATAAATAAATAAATAAATAAATAAAAATGCATGTATTGTACAAAAAATTCTTCCAAATAATATTTCTGAAAAAGTAGTAAGAGCTGGGTGCTCCAGATAATGACGATAACGGTGATACTGATGCTGTTAAAGGCAGCTAATAGCTTTTGAGCTCTCACCCTGTGTCAAGTCTTGCTCTAATTATTTTTCATATAGAGTCAGCATCTGTGGGTTCCACATCATGGATTCAACCAACCACAGATCAAAAATATTCAGACAGAAAAAAATTCTAAAAACCAAAACTTGAATTTGCTGTGTATCAAGTATTATGTTGAATCCATGAGAATGAATTAATGTGTAGGTACTGTATTAAGTAATCTAGAGATTATTTTAAGTATAAGGGAGGATATGCATAAGTTATATCCAAATACATGTGATTTTATATAAGAGACTGGAGCATACACTGAGCTTGGTATCTGCGGTAGGTCTTGGAACAAATCCTTCACAGATACCAAGGGGACAACGGTGTTTATATAATTTAACACTCAACCCTATGAAGTAGGTACTGTCATTCCCATTTTCCAGATAAGAAAACACACACAGAGATGTTAAGTAACCAGCCAAGGCAAGAGGAAAAGATTTAGGATTAATACTCAGACAGCCTGACTCCATACCCTGTGTTCTTAACCAATATACTACATTGCCTTTAAAAATAAGTTTCTGTGTTGGTAAAATGAAATACACCAATCACAGAGTTTTAAATGACTAACCCTGCTAATTCGGCTTTAAATCGAAGTTGGAGATAAAGAAAAACACTAGTTAAGGTATTTTCTCTTTTATTTTTTGGTATGTTTCTACCTTAGAACTGCTACATGGCTCTGGTAATAGGAGATAATCTATTTGCTATTGCTACTTTCAACTGCTAAATATTGCTTCTGCAGCAAGTAATAGCAGACTGAACAAAAGTTAGCCCCAAAAGTAAACAATTTATCACCGTTTTTCCCATAATATATACAACCTGTGAAGTATTAAAACATTCCAAGCCGGGCTCGGTGGCTCAGCCTGTAAACCCGCGCCTTTGGGAGGCTGAGGTGAGTGGATTGCCTGAGCCCGCGGGTTCGAGACCCGCCTGGGCAGCGAGACCTCATCTCTACAATAAATCAAAAAAATCACCCGGGCGTGGTAGCACATGCCTGTAATTCCGGCTACTTGGAAGGCTGAGGCAGAAGGATCGCCGGAGCCCAGTAGGTCGAGGCTGCGGTGGCCGGGAGCGGCCACTGCACTGCAGTCTGGGCGACAGAGTGAGACTCCAACTCAAAAAAAAAAACATTCCAGAGGGAAGCTACCTTGAACTCATCAACTAAAAAAAATTCAGAGACAAAAATACTACAAATAACCATCCTCACCTTGCACAGATAGGAAAAGTCATGTATACACGCTTTTGGAAAATACTTATTATCCCTATTATGTGCCAAAAACTAACCTGGAAACTTGAGTACTTGAAGAAAGAGGCCAATGTGGCTGCAGCAGAGTAGAAGATTCAGAGAGAAGTAAGAGAAGTCGGAGAGATGGGAGTGGGGAGTTGAGAGTAAGGAGGGCAGATCACATTTAGCTTATATTTCTGCAAGAGATGAGAAACTCCTGGGTTTTGAACGAATTACACTGATCTGCTTTACATTCTAGCTTCAGTCTAGAGAAGAGATCGTAAGGAGATGAGGCACAAGTGGGGGACCAGCTACGAGACTACTACAAAAATCTAAATGAGAAAAAACAAGCTGGTAGTGCCAAAAAATGGTGTGATGTGGTCAGGCTCTGGATTTATTCTGAAGGTACAGTCTATAGCCAACAGGACTTAGAGATAGATTCAATGAAGATTGTGAAAAAAAGAAAGGAATCAAACGTGATTCTCTGGCTTTCAGTTTAAGCAATGAGAAGATAGGGAAGACTGAGGGAGGAGAAAGTTTCGGAAATATCAGGAGCTCAGTTTTGGACTTAGGTTTCAGATGCTTGTGAGACATCCAAAGAAACCCCTACAAAGCAGGCAGCTACATACGTGAGTTTAGAGATTAAGGAAGCAGTTCAAGCTGGGGGCATGAGTTTGAAAGTCATCATTATATATATGTTTATATATGTAATAGTTAACCTTGAGACTGGGTTCCAGTTCTGCTAAGGCAGTAAGTATTCACTACAGTTCATCTTTTCCACCGATTACGACTGAAAACACTGGATAAAATTTTTTAAAAAAACAACTACCTGAAAACTTTGAAAAGTAAATAAAAGCAGGGGGATCACAGATCAAGGCAAAATGTGAGGTCACTGCATAAGGGTGAGTTTTTTGTCTTTTTTTAGGTTCTCTCTCTTAACAGCTTTACCCCAAGTTTGAACACAGTCCTGGAGTAGCATGGCAGCACATTTAGCTAAAACTCTGAGAGAATCCCCATCTTTCTTACCAAAGGAACCAGGAAAACAAATCCCTGCAGGCTGGAGAGTAAGAAAAGTCCACAGTTGAGAGAACCAGAAAGGGGGATTCCCTTATTCTGTGTCAGTCTCAGGCTCACTCTTAAGCTAAAGCATGCACTTATAGAACTGAACAAAGTCTGTAGTCACCACCCACAGAAAGCAAGACTGAACTTGCTGAAACAAATTGGCTTGACTGCTTACTAAAACAAAGACATCAACATTCTCCTGAAGATCTACATAACGTAACATTCACCCTTCCAGGATACAATCCAAAATTAGTGAATATATACAGAATCAGAAAAATGGAACCAATACTCTCAAGGTGAAAGATAACCAAGAGATGCAAAAATCAAGAATGCTCAGATTATGGAATTATCAAAGACTTTAAAACAGCTATTAGAACTACAAGATAAAGAAAGCCATTCTAGAAATGAACTAAAAGATACAAATTCTCAGCAGAGAAATAGAAATCATCAAATAAACTAAATGGTAATTTTAGAACTGAAAATATAATATTTGAAATAAAAAACTCACTAGAATAGCTCAAAAGTAAAAGGAGGATGAAGGAAGAGTCAGTGAATTTAAAGAGGCAGCAATATAAATGATCTGATCTGAAGAACAGAGAGAAAAGAGATTAAAAATGGAACGGTTTCAGGTATCTTTGGGACAATATTTTTTTAAAATCTCATATGTGCATCATCAAAATCCTAGAATGCAAGGAGAAAAAAATTAAGGGAGAAAAGATGTTTAAAGAAATGATTAGTTATGGGATTTTAAGATTATCATATGAAAAGGGTTTAAAGGCAATCATTGATTAAGTTTTCATGGATTAAGGTTTCTGGTGGGTGGGGGACGCCCCTCCCACATCTGACTTTGTGTATGAAAGACCCGTTGTAATTCCCAATAACACACATCACTTCTGCACTAAAAAAAAATAAATGACTGAAAACTTCCCAAATTTAGTGAAATACATGTATTTATATACTTAAGAAGCTCAGAAAATCCCAAACAGAATAACTTAAAAGAGAACCATGCTCAGACATAGCACAATCAAACTGCTAAAAATCTTGAAAATAGCTAGAGAAAAATGACCCATCACATACAGGGTAACAACAATTTTACTGACCACAAACTCATTAAAAAAACCATGGAGGAGGCCGGCTCAGCCTATAATACCAGCACTTTGGGAGGCCAAGGCGAGAGGATTGCCTGAGTCTGGGGGTTTAAGACCAGCCTGGGCAACTTGGTGAGACCGCATCTTTAAAGTAATCACAAAAACTAGCCACGTGTGGTGGCATGTGTCTGTGATTCCAGCTACTTGGAAGGCTGAGGTGGAAGGATCGCCTAAGCCCAGCAGGTTGAGGCTGCGGTGGCCATGAGCATGCCACTGCACTCCAGGCTGGACGACAAAGTGAGACCTCAATTCAAAAACGAAAACAAAACATGAAGCCCAGAAGACTGAAACAACATGCTTTTAAAAACCTGTCAACCCAAAACTCTACATCCCACACAAATTTCCTTTAGGAATTCAGGTTAAGTAAAGATATTCTCAGTTGAAGGAAAACTAAGAGAATTTATCTCCTGCTTTATAAGA